TCGTAAAATGTAGTAGGGGTACTAAAGTGTTTCAATTTTTGTTTAGATGCTGCGCGTTAGTCAAAAGTTTGAGAACCGCTGATCATCTACATGACAAGCATAAAAGTAAATTTCTTTGCCGGTTGCTGTTTAGGTAAGGTATTATTATTTTAATTTGATTTCTTTTTTATATGAACACAGAGAGATTTCCCATGCGCTGTAAGTGCACACTGCGGAGGGGGACATTAAAAAAATCTGAAAGGTTTCAGATTTTAAATTACGTCCAAAGGGGCGTTTTTTTAACGTTTTGTGTGTTACCTTTATTTATTAAATATCATGCTCTTCGTACTTAAACCATAAATTTCAGTTATATAGCAATGTCGCAAAATAATTTTTAAATGAGCCTATCTTTAGAATTTCCGATACACAGTTCCGCGCGCTGGAGATAAAAAGGTCCCCCCCCCCCGTAGAGTGTTGCCATTGCTCGCTTTCAAATCGTTGAGTTTGTTACTCAAAAATTTAATCAAGATTCGGAAAACTGAAGTTTTCGACTGAAGCGAAGTTTTCCAAAATATGAAATCGATAATAAAACAAATTCCAAATTTCAAATTTGGGCTTCCACATGCCCATATTCGCAGTAGGATTACGTCATTCAAAATTGGATAGCTCTACGTACCGTTGTTTTATCACAATGCGAGAAATATACATACATCTATGTAGATTTTTCATTATTTAATTTCACCAAATATAATGCAGGACTCTAACATTTGGTGGCAACAGTTTAAAAATAATAGTCCTTCAGGGACAAAGCCACTTTAGACTAAAAAAAAAAAAAAAAAAAATTACCCGAAAGCTTTCAGATTTTATATTATGCCGAAAGAAGCTTTTTCTAACGTTTTTTGTGTTATCCTTATTTATTAAATATCATATTCTTCGCCCTAAAACCATAAAATTAAGTTCAACAGCAATATCGCAAAATATTTAAAAACAACATATGTTTAGAAATTCCAATTGAGTCTCCTGCGCTGAAGATTTTTTCCCCCTCGTACAGTGTTGCCATTTCTGGCTTGGAAATCGTTGAGATTGTTAATCAAAAATTCATTATTAAGTTTTACAAAATATGAAATAGACAATGAAACAAATTCAAAATTTGGGCTTGGAAATGCCCAAATTCGAGTGGAAGACAACGTTATTCGAAATTTGGTGTCTTTAGGTACCGTTGTGTTTTCATTATGCGAGAAACAAACATACATGCGCGCGGATTCTTTATTTAATTTTTTTAAATATACTGCAGGGCTCTAATATTTGGTGGCAACAATTGGAAAAGTGAACGACACAAAATGCCAAAACGAAATTAATATCCCTTCTGGGCAAATTGCCTTTTTTTTTTTTTTGCTTATTACTTGCTCTGTCCTTAGGCAGTACATGGAAAGGGAGGGTGTATTTGGTGTATTTAAGTATGGCAAAGCTCACTGGAGCTATCTGCCTAAGGGGAGGGATGCCTTCGTGGAGGACTTTCTAAGGGAAACTGGCTCGTATACACGTTACACATGGGGAAAACCACGAAAACGCCCATGCAGCCAGCCCGTTCGCGGGATTGGAAAGGGAGGGATGCCCCGTGGAGGTCCTTTTAAGAGAAACTGGCTCGTATCACGAAAACGCCCATGCAGCCAGCCCGTTCATCGGGACTCGAACCCCGAACCGAACTACCAGTGTTCAGAGGCTTTTAGCACTCGGCCGCTGGTGGGCAAAACAAATTGCCCCTTTGGACTAAAAATAAAAGGAAATTGTTCTTATTATCTCTACATTTGACGCTCATAATTTCATCCAGCACTAAATATTTAGATATTGTTACGAAATGTACAAGCGCGGTAAGATACCTTCCCCCGCAAAGCAGTTTCAGGGTTGCCATAAAATGGCGAGGGAAGTCTGAGTTGCCATATTTGGCGAGAAATTGTCCATTTGGCGACAAAACTGGCGATATGCCATGGACGGATGGAGAACCTTCTGAAACGAATTCTTACCGGTTTAGCCCAGAATGTTCTCGAACACAAGCCGGAAGCTATATAAACCCTGCTGGTCCGCAGTTAGTTAGTCTCTGTCTCTCATCGAGTTGGTGTTTTGTCTAGCGAGTCAATCTCTGCGGAGTCGATCGAGTTGACAGCCGGGCAGCGAGTGCCGAGTGGGTCGTCGAGTTCACCGAAGGATTCTCTTAGTGTATCGCGGTTAGTGCATCGTCGAGAGAGCGTGTTGAGCTCCGGGAACGACTGAAGCGAAGAGTCGGGAGCCATGCTCTGTGTGTTGTAGAGTGCATCGCGAGTTGTAGCGTGAAGAGCCTCGAGAGTACGTGGAGTTCCGAGAACGACCGAGCAGAGTCGGGAGCTGTATTCTGGTGCTTTGCAGTGAAGCTGTCTCAAATGCGATAGTCTGATAACCTGAAGGCTGTGTCGCTGATCGTGCCAGCGTGTTTATAGTAGATCTTCGACGACTGTAAAAGTGTTTTGGAGCTGTCCTGATTAATATTGGTAAATAAAGTGTGTTTCGATACTTCATCAAGTGTCGTCGTTATTCTCTCCAAATCTACGAACCCTGTACGAATTTTAAGGAAGAAAATAACGTAACAACTGGTGTCAGAAAAGAAAAAACGCAACAATATTTTATATCACCAAATTACTGAAATATAGCATCGGAAATCTGATGATATTGAAAGTATAAAGTTAATTTTTCACCCCAAACAAGCTCAAATTTTCGAAAATCATTACTGGAAATCTGATGATATTGAAAGTATAAAGTTAATTTTTCACCCCAAACAAGCTCAAATTTTCGAAAATCATTACTGGAAATCTGATGATATTGAAAGTATAAAGTTAATTTTTCACCCCAAACAAGCTCAAATTTTCGAAAATCATTACTGGAAATCTGATGATATTGAAAGTATAAAGTTAATTTTTCACCCCAAACAAGCTCAAATTTTCGAAAATCATTACTGGAAATCTGATGATATTGAAAGTATAAAGTTAATTTTTCACCCCAAACAAGCTCAAATTTTCGAAAATCATTACTGGAAATCTGATGATATTGAAGTCTAAATTAATTTTTCACCCCAAACAAGCTCAAATTTTCGAAAATCATTACTGGAAATCTGATGATATTGAAATATAAGTTAATTTTTCACCCCAACAAGCTCAAATTTTCGAAAATCATTACTGGAATCTGATGATTTGAAAGTATAAAGTTAATTTTCACCCCAAACAAGCTCAAATTTTCGAAAATCATTACTGGAAATCTGATGATATTGAAAGTATAAAGTTAATTTTTCACCCCAAACAAGCTCAAATTTTCGAAAATCATTACTGGAAATCTGATGATATTGAAAGTATAAAGTTAATTTTTCACCCCAAACAAGCTCAAATTTTCGAAAATCATTACTGGAAATCTGATGATATTGAAAGTATAAAGTTAATTTTTCACCCCAAACAAGCTCAAATTTTCGAAAATCATTACTGGAAATCTGATGATATTGAAAGTATAAAGTTAATTTTTCACCCACCCCAACAAGCTCAAATTTTCGAAAATCATTACTGGAAATCTGATGATATTGAAAGTATAAAGTTAATTTTTCACCCCAAACAAGCTCAAATTTTCGAAAATCATTACTGGAAATCTGATGATATTGAAAGTATAAAGTTAATTTTTCACCCCAAACAAGCTCAAATTTTCGAAAATCATTACTGGAAATCTGATGATATTGAAAGTATAAGTTAATTTTCACCCCAAACAAGCTCAAATTTTCGAAAATCATTACTGGAAATCTGATGATATTGAAAGTATAAAGTTATTTTTCACCCCCCAAACAAGCTCAAATTTTCGAAAATCATTACTGGAAATCTGATGATTTGAAAGTATAAATTAATTTTTCACCCCAAACAAGCTCAAATTTTCGAAAATCATTACTGGAAATCTGATGATATTGAAAGTATAAAGTTAATTTTTCACCCCCCAAACAAGCTCAAATTTTCGAAAATCATTACTGGAATCTGATGATATTGAAGTATAAAGTTAATTTTTCACCCCAAACAAGCTCAAATTTCGAAATCATTACTGGAAATCTGATGATATTGAAAGTATAAAGTTAATTTTTCACCCCAAACAAGCTCAAATTTTCGAAAATCATTACTGGAAATCTGATGATATTGAAAGTTATAAGTTAATTTTTCACCCCAAACAAGCTCAAATTTTCGAAAATCATTACTGGAAATCTGATGATATTGAAAGTATAAAGTTAATTTTTCACCCCAAACAAGCTCAAATTTTCGAAATCATTACTATTACTGGAAATCTGATGATATTGAAAGTATAAAGTTAATTTTTTCACCCCAAACAAGCTCAAATTTTCGAAAATCATTACTGGAAATCTGATGATATTGAAAGTATAAAGTTAATTTTTCACCCCAAACAAGCTCAAATTTTCGAAAATCATTACTGACTGAAATCTGATGATATTGAAAGTATAAAGTTAATTTTTCACCCCAAACAAGCTCAAATTTTCGAAAATCATTAACTGGAAATCTGATGATATTGAAAGTATAAAGTTAATTTTTCACCCCAAACAAGCTCAAATTTTCGAAAATCATTACTGGAAATCTGATGATATTGAAAGTCTAAAGTTAATTTTTCACCCAAACAAGCTCAATTTTCGAAAATCATTACTGGAAATCTGAATTGAAAGTATAAAGTTAATTTTTCACCCCAAACAAGTAATAAAGTTTAATTTTTCACCCCAACAAGCTCAAATTTTCGAAAATCATTACTGGAAATCTGATGATATTGAAAGTATAAAGTTAATTTTTCACCCCAAACAAGCTCAAATTTTCGAAAATCATTACTGGAATATTTCGCAGGCATCTATTATCGTTATCGTTAACAATGAAAATTACAATATCGTTTAAAAAGCAGATTATCTATCGATTTTCAAATGTATTTTGCTAAAGAGAATCTTGATTAAAATTTATCATACTTACAGGAGAACGTAATTCCGATGTTTAATCTTTCTTCTTAAATGCTTGAATGTAAAAATCAGGATGACAGCGGTTTTTATATGAAAGCAAAAACAAATAACAGAGAATGTTTTCGCAAGTGTTAGCTTATTGTAAGTAAGACAATGACATCGTTCATGTGCTTTAACAATTACAGCGTAAGATATTATTTTTTAGAAGATGTATCACCTGTTCCTAATTCTTGAGAAATCATAAAATATTGATAGGGATTTTGATTCGTCATTTATTTACTAGTGTTAATTTACCCGAGAGAGCTTCAGGAGGGGATGATAACTATGACAAGGCATATAATTATTTATGACATGTTGATTTATTCAAATGGCATTATAATTTCTAATGATTACATATGTCAAACGATTTCTCTTTGTTCTTAGCTAAGGATCGTTTTTCATGATGATTGCTGGCTTCGTATTGATAACTAACTGACTTCCTTAAACGCTAAATTTCAGCTGGAAAAGAAGAAAAATCATTGTTCTTTGAGAAATCTGACCAAACGATTAGATGTTTGAAACGTTTATCACTTTTTAAATTCCTTAAACTTAGTACTGATACGGCTAAACTATTTGCAAAATCCGAAACGTTCAAAAGAAAAAATTCTGAAAAAAAAAAAAAATTCCATATATTATTCAGAAACAAATGGTAAGATTTTAAGATGCTATTTGTTGTTTTTTAATGATATTAATTTTGTTAACTATTTGTATTAAATCTAAACATTTTTCATGGGAAATGGGTAAATGTAGCAATCAGCACATTGTTAACATCTCAGATTTATATGAATTTACATGTTAAATCTCTCCTGCATTTCCACTTTGCGTTCATTTCCACCAGAAATGCAAATTACGTAAGTTTAAACAAAGAAAGAAAATGTAAATTAACTGACAGAGAATAAGTAATATATCCTCTAATTTGTATTTCCTTTCAAAGTAACTGAACTGCTGCTAAAATCCTTATCCCCCCTGAAGCGGTTGTTTAGTTTTTGTTAACGTTTTAGTCTGTAATTTCAAGTGGAAACACAAATAAATGTTTGGATTAATTTTACCATTCAGTTATTTCGTGCTACTGAATTCTACTGTTAGTGAATTACTTTGGGCTGTTGTGTTCCATGTTAAAGTTAGGTATGGTGTGGTCTACTTAATTATGGCAAAGCACACTAGGGCTATCTGCCTAAGGGGAGGGATGCCTTCGTGGAGGACTTTCTAAGGGAAACTGGCTCGTATACACGTTACACATGGGGAAAACCACGAAAACACCCTTGCAGACAGCCCGTTCGCGGGATTCGAACCTCGGACCGAACTACAAGTGTTCAGCGATTTTACCGCTCGGCCGCTGGTGAGCCTGTTAAAGTTAGGAATGGAATTTGTTGGACAGGGGGTTAGGAAATGTTTAGGAACAAATGTTTAGGAAATTTAACCTAGTCCCCAAATAATGGCACGGCACAATGCCTTACAAATGAGACTCATTCTGCTCTGCTGTCTCAATTAAGGCTCTTTGAATTAAGACATGGTTTTGGAATAAAACCTAGCTTTGAATTAAGGCCTGGTTTTGAATAAAGGCTTTCTGAATTAAGGTCTCGTTTTAAATAAAGGCCCTCTGAAATAAGATCTGGTTTTAAATTAAGGCCTGGTTTTGAATTAATTAAGACTCTCTGAATTAAGATCTGTTTTTGAGTGAAGGCTCTCTGAATTAAGGTCTCGTTTTAAATAAAGGCCCTCTGAAATAAGATAAGATAAAATAAGTGAACAAATGTTGCTGAAAGTCGTCAGGCATACAAATATTTATATTGCATCTATTTCTGACAGCTTTCAAAGAGAGAGAGAGAGATGCTCATAACACGACTCTAAACGAAATTCGCACTTTTATGGGTCTTTTATATTTTTGTGATACAAGGCATCTCATGTAAATGTGAGGTATCTGCGGGCAACAGACGGAACCGGCTTGGAAATTTTCGACAAAACTATGTCCTACAAATGTTTTCTTTTTTTATCAAGATGTTTGTGTTTTGATAACATAGAAACTCGCGTCGTCAAGAAAGAATCAGATAAACTTGCACCTATAAGAGAATTTTTTGATGATTTTGTGAATAACTGCGAGAAATATTACACTGTCGATGAGTTCATAACAATTAATGAAAAACTTGAAGCCTTCTGAGGAAAATGTTCTTTCAGGCAGCATATTCCTGGAAAACCTGAATTATAATTCCTGAATAATCTGAATAATATAATGAATTCCTAATCAATTCAATATTAATATAATATATTTTCTATTCCTTTAAACATTTATTTCATAAAAAATATTACAGAAATTGAAATTAAAATTTTAATTTTTATAGTTTGAATATTTTTTGTTTGAGCATAAAATTTTCGCATAAATGTAATACTTTTACCCGAAGAGCAACAGTTTTTTCTTCAGAAAACACGAGCCGGGTCTTGCGCGTCAGGATTAAAACTTGTTTTTGAAATAAGACTGGTTTGAATTAAGATCTGGCTTTGAATTAAGGCCTGGTTTTGAATTAAGGCTCTCTGAATTAAGACCTGTTTTTTGAAATAATACCTGGCTTTCAATTAAGATCTGGCTTTGAATGAAGGTTCTCTGAATTCAGGCCTAGTTCTCTGAATTAAGACCTGGTTTTGAAATAAGACCTGACTTTGAATGAAGGTTCTCTGAATTCAGGCCTGGTTTTGAATTAAGGCTCTGTGAATTAAGAACTGGTTGGCCTGGTTTTGAATTAAGAATCTCTGAATTAAGACCTGTTTTTTGAAATAATACCTGGCGTTCAATTAAGATCTGGCTTTGAGTGAAGGTTCTCTGAATTCAGGCCTAGTTCTGAAGTCAGGCTTTCTGAATTAAGACCTGGTTTTGAATTAAGACCTGACTTTGAATTAAGGCCTGGCTTTGAATGAAGGTTCTTTGAATTCAGGCCTGGTTTTAAGTTAAGGCTCTGTGAATTAAGAACTGGTTTTGAAATAAGACTTGGTTTTGAATGAAGGCTCTAATTAAGAATTAAGATCTGGTTTTTCGAGATTCGATCGGGATTTTAAGATTAATTTCCGAGATTAAAAAAATTCAGTCGAAGGGTAATTAAGTCATAACATTACAAAAGTGGCCTAGTATTAAGGCATTAGTATCCTATCCTGCTTTTATAGATTTGAGCGGGATCTAGAATTCGATCGATATCTGTATCGATTTACTTTTGCCGTGCTCTTTGAATTATGCGGTCGTTTATCTTGGATAATAGCCGGCTTTACATCCCCGTCCCCGCTTTCTAATCTGCCAATAACAAACTCTATACAAATGAGCTTAGATTAAAGAATTAGCAGTAGTTATAATAATATGGCAAACATTTCAAGAATGCGCACTATTCATCAATAAATTTTCTATTTTATTGTGCTTCTTTTCCTTAAAATGGTCTCAGAACAATTTATGAAACTAAGTGTAATGGCTAATTCAGAGAATTTAAACACTTTCTTGTTACTTTACTACTTCAGATCGTCATTTATAAATGTTTCAGGGAATTTGAAATCTCTCGAAGTATTAATCTTTAAACAAGCAGCATTTCGGGAAAAAATGGATGCCTGTGGCGACATGGCATTCTTTGCAAGAATCAGAAATAATGCTATGCTCGTATATTTTGATTCGTGTAACTAGAAAGTATTAAACATTTTTCCTTAGGTCTACCGAACTACAGGATTTTTCCGGAAAGTAGAAGAATTGAATTTCTTAAAAAAATTATTCACAATTTTGACACATCGAATTAATTAGTTTTCAAAATATGCCCGTTCTGCTACAACACGGAGTTTCCAGTGGCTCTGCCATTCACGGAAGGCTTCCTGGAACGCATAAATTGGAATGATGTTCAGCTTATGTCTTAACTTCGGGTAAGAGGCAATCTGGTCTATTGCGGCCTTTTCCAATATATTATTTTTGACTTTTTTAATCTTGAGAATCAAGGGAGTTGAATCCACTAGAATGGAAAGTACTTATATACATACTGTGCTAGAGATTTTTAATGGAGGCTCCAGTGCCGCCATCTGTTGAGATAAGTAAACTTAGAAGATACGAGGGTGCTCATGTGGCTTCACCTATTTTTGGTAATGGAAAGCTTCTTAGTACACTGGTGCTCCGGTGGCGCCATCTCTTGTAGATTGCATCGTGAGCCATTTTTGAAAACATTTTCATACTATTCTTTGGAAAAGCAATTATTGGCAAGTGATTATATGATGAAATATCATAGTTTGTCACTGTAGAAAACGGTTCACAAGAATAAAACTATATACACATCAAAGTTTATATCTGCTTTGACAGGGACAAAGTCCATAGCGCTTTGTAAAGTAATGCAGTAAGATGAAAAGTAAAAATAATAATAAAATGAAGCTTGGCTAAATAAGTAAAGAACGAAAAATATATACATAATTACCACCGATTTTCGTGGTGAATAGAACCGGGTCTTTTGTGGCGTTGTTCTACTGTGTAATCATAATTTCCGAGTTTTTTAATAATATTTTCCGGATAATTGTCTCACTTCGTAAAGAAGTTATGAGATAATTTTAAAATTTCTGCATCTGTTGGTTTGATTTTCAAGTCGTGTGTAAGGTGCTATCCCGCACAAACCAAGATGCATTTGTAATTATTCGAATTGTCTTGTTTTGAATCTTTTGAATTCTTGTGCGGTGAATTCTCTTGCAGTAGCAGCCCAAGCTGGAGATGCATAAGAAGAATAGGACGTAATGCCTGAAGATAAATTACTCTTTTTGTTGCTACACTGAGTTGAGAATTTTTTCCTATGATCGCATAAATACTTCCTATTGCTTGATTAGCTTTTTTTGCATGTATTTTCAACGTGATCTTTGAATGTGAGTTTTTGGTCGAGATAAACTCCTAAATACTTGATGCATTTTTCATTGAGGATAGGGATGTTATTGATTTATTTGCTTTCGTTAATTTTAATTTTCCATGCATTGAACCATGGGAAAATATAATCTATTGCATTCTGTAAGGTTTGAACAGCTCTTTGAGG